CAAATACATCACCACCACCCTGTTCCTCTACTTCACCTGCCTCCTGCCCACCATCGCTTTTGGGTCCCTCAACGATGAGAACACGAACGGGGCCATCGGTGAGGCGGGGGCAGGAGGCTGGTGGGGGCGGGGCGGGAGGCCCAGGGCTGCGGCACCCCCTGACCCCCCCCACCTCCTCAGATGTGCAGAAGACCATGGCGGGGCAGAGCATCGGAGGCCTCCTGTACGCTCTCTTCTCGGGGCAGCCGCTCGTGGTGCTGCTGACCACCGCGCCCCTGGCCCTCTACATCCAAGGTGCCGTGGCCCTGGCGGCGGGGGGTGGCTCCCGTGGTCCCCGGCCCCAGCCCAGCCCTGACCAGCCCCCTCGTCCTGCTGCCTGCAGTAATCTGTGGCATCTGTGGTGACTACGATCTGGACTTCAACACCTTCTACGCATGGACGGGCCTGTGGAACAGTTTCTTTCTCGCGCTTTATGCCCTCTTCAACCTCAGTCTGGTCATGCGTCTCTTCAAGAGGTGACAGGGCCTTCCCCAAGCTGCTGGGACCCTCAAGCAGGAGGGAGACCAAGGCCAGGGATCTGGGTCAGCCTCCATGCCGGCCTCCGAGGCCCTGTAACCCCAAAGTGGCTGCGGTGCCCCCACCGTATCACTGCCCCAAGAGAGAAGCGTGGGACCCTGGGCTTCATGGCAGGAGGAGGTTGGGGGCTGTGCAGAGGCTCAGGGAAGCCTCCCCCCCCACCCCCGCTGCCCAGCCCCCTGACGGTTCACCCCCATTTGATGAGGCATGACACCCCTCCCGCCCCCCCGGCAGGTCGACAGAAGAGATCATTGCCCTCTTCATTTCCATCACCTTCATGCTGGATGCTGTCAAGGGCATGGTCAAAAGTGAGTGTCTAGCCGGTGGCTGCCTGCTGCAGGGGAAACTGAGCTGAGCTGGGGGACTATGGGCTGTGGCCAGGGCCGCCAAGCAGCATGCAAGCTAAGGCTCCTTCCACGGTCCAGGGTGCTCTCGGGAGCTGTGACCGGCAGAGAGCAGCAGTGCCATGTGCTGGAGGGTGACAGGGCTGACCCAGGCAGGATCAGAGGCACGGGGCCAGGTGTGAGGCACTGTCAGAGATCGGGGCGGTGGGTGGACAAGCAGGTCAGTGGGGGCCCTCCTGGCTGACAAAGAAAGGCGGCCCTCTCCCTTCCCTGTCCCCCCCCAGAAGCCCTTTCTCCCCTCGGGGGCCCCCTCTCCCCCGCATCCAGGAGGGAGCTGGGCCTCAGCCTCCCCGAGCTCGGATGGCTGAGGCCTGCTGGCCTGTATCCACAGTCTTCCAGAAGTACTACTATGACCACGACTTCGGGAACTATTATACAGACAGCACTTCCCTGGTGAGCCTGCTGGGCCTCGGCACCAGCCTCAACACCAGCCTCCACACGGCCCTCAACACCAGCCTCCTGACCCGCCCGCCCCAGCTGACCTCCACGAGCCACCACGCCGAGCACCCGGGCCGGGAGACCGCCGTGCTCAGCCTCCTCATCATGCTGGGCACGCTGTGGCTGAGCTACACCCTCTACCAGTTCAAGAAGAGGTGAGGGCGGCCTACGGGCGAGGGGAAGGAGGCACAAGCCCCCAGGCCGCACTGATACACCCACCTGTGTCCCCAGCCCTTACCTGCACCCCTGCATGCGGGAGATCCTGTCAGACTGCGCCTTGCCCATCTCGGTGCTCACCTTCTCCCTCATCTCCTCCTACGGCTTCCGGGAAATCAAGAGTGAGTTGGGGTCTGGCAGGGGGTGCGGTGGGGTGGGGTCACCCCTCGAGGGCCGCAGGCTGGAGCAGGGGCCTGTACCTGCTGCAGTGAGCCAGTTCCGCTACAACCCCAGCAAGAGCCTCTTTGAGGTGGCCGAGATGCACTCCCTGTCCCTGGGGGCCATCGCCAGCGCCATGGGCCTGGGCTTCCTGCTCTCCTTGCTCTTCTTCATCGAGCAGAACTTGGTGGCTGCCTTGGCGAATGCCCCAGAGAACAGGTGCGCAGGGCTGGGCAGGGGAGGGCTGAGCGTGCGCCCGATCCTGCAAGGGGCCTCGGGGATCCGGCCACACGTGCCCCCGTCTGCTGCAGGCTGGTGAAGGGCACTGCCTACCACTGGGACCTCCTGCTCATCGCCATCATCAACAGCGGGCTGTCTCTGTTTGGGCTGCCCTGGATCCACGCTGCCTACCCCCACTCCCCGCTGCACGTGCGGGCCCTGGCTTTGGTGGAGGAGCGTGTGGAGAACGGGCACATTTATGAGACGTGAGTGTGGGCGGGGTCCCTTGAGACCTGAGGCAAGTCATGTGGGCCCTGAGGTGGGGGGGGGCCTGGGCCACATGGGACCCAGGCAGGGAGCGAGCCCGGGGAGCCCCATGTGAGCCGAGGGGGGACCCGGCCCCATGGACCAGGGCCGGAGGTGAGCCGGGGCCCTGGGACCGCGCAGGATCGTGAATGTGAAAGAGACGCGGCTGACCACGCTGGGCGCCAGCATCCTGGTGGGCTTTTCCCTCCTGCTGCTACCCTTCCCGCTGCAGTGGATCCCCAAGCCCGTGCTCTACGGCCTCTTCCTCTACATCGCGCTCACCTCCATCGACGGCAACCAGCTCTTCGAGCGCGTGGCCCTGCTGCTCAAGGACCAGGTGAGTGTCCGGCCCTGAGAGTGAGGGCTGTGGGGGGGGTCACGGCTCCACGCCTGCCCACAGCGGGTCCCTGCCGCCCGCAGACCTCGTACCCGCCCACCCACTACGTCCGGAGGGTGCCGCAGAGGAAGATCCACTACTTCACGGGCCTGCAGGTCCTGCAGCTTCTGCTCTTATGTGCCTTCGGCATGAGCAGCCTGCCCTACATGAAGATGATCTTCCCCCTCATCATGATTGCCATGATCCCCATCCGGTACGGGCGGGTGGGCCGGGGCGGCAGGGGGTGGGGGGTGCCCTCTGCCTCTTGCTCTCCGACCCAGTGCTCACCTTGAGGTCTGCTCTCCCTCCGCCCAGCTACAACCTGCTGCCCCGAATCATTGAAGCCAAGTATTTGGACGCCATGGATGCTGAGCACTGACTGGGGCCCTGACGTGCAGGCCCCGGCCATATCCCCTTCACTCGTCTCTCTGGCTCTGCCCAGGCTGACTCTGCGGCCATGCGGGGGGGAGGTATGGGTGTCCTCTGGGGTGGGGCTCTGTGCTGCACCCCGTCCCAGCTGTCCCATCAGGCCTAGGGCATCTAGGCATAGGAAGGGGGGTGGGTGTTCCACGGTAGGTGCCCATCCCTGTCCCCATTAGCCTTTCGCTTGGGTCAGTAACACTGCTCAGGGCAACTCCTGTCCAGAGTAGGACTAAGCAGGACGAATTTTCTTTTGATAAAAGAGTCAGATGTCTGAAAGAGAAACCATTTCCTTGATTGTGTAAGGAACTTGCTGTATGCACCCTAGAGAATAAAACTCCTGTTTCTACGCTTCCATCTCTGCTGTCCTGCCCTGCCCTGCCCCAGCCTCAGGGCCACCAGAGAATAGGAGTCGGATGTAAAGGGGAGGCGGAATAAAAAGGACCAGGGTTTGTTGAGTGCCACAGGCCGTCACCTCCAGCCCCACACCGTGGATGTTGGCCCAACAGGGGGCTGGGGAAGATCCAGGAGGCCCTGGCGCTGCGGGGTTGCCAGGAAAGCTTGCAGGGGAGGTGTTGTTCTGGGAAGACCACGTGCAAGGGCCCGGAGGAGAGGGCTTGGGGCCAGTGCCGAGCCACGGCTGGTGGAGGAAAGACGAGCGGGCCTGGCAGCCCTGGGCCTGGGCTCACGGAGCTCAGAGCCACTGTGGTGACGAACGCCCTGTGTGGGGTGGGTACCAAATCTACACGTGGGGGTGGGGCAGGGGGCTGCACCCCGCACCAAGGCACGCATAGTGGGGCTGAACAGAAGTGGAAGACCTGGAGGCCAGGATGTGGGGATTGGTTCGATGGAAGGGAGAAGGGGCTGTGTTCCTGGCTTGGTCACTTGGTGGTTGGCCAGAGGCCCCATGACCTACCTTACAGGACTTTGGCTTCCCCAATACACCAGAGACCAAGGGCGCAGATGAGAGAAGACATCTGCTACCTCTAAACTGAAGAGGACTCACATCTAGATACGCTAAGAATTCCTGCAAACCAACAACAAAAAAAGACCAGGACTCCAACTCCAATAGAAGAGGCAAACCTGTGAGGGGGCAGCAGGAATGCTCGATGCCCTAGGTCACCTGACAAATGCCGCCCCAAGGGGGCTGGCATCGTCCACGTGGAACTGGCAACACTGAGCCTCCCAAGGCTGGCCGGCTGCCCGCGTGGGGGGGTGGGTACCCTGGTGCATGGGTGGCGGAGGGGAGGACCAGGGTGATGCTCCCTCGTAGGTGGGCGTGGGGACAAGCATGTTCATGGTGTGGGTAGGGGTGGGTAGCAAAGGGGGACAGTGTCCTCTGGGCCTGGGACATCACTCTAAGAGTTGATAGCAAGCACAGAGGGCTGCCCGGCCCTAAGCTCCATGTACCCACCCCATGCGTGCGGCATGTGATCCTTTGGGGCCCCCTCCCCAGTGGCCTGGGTGTTCCCTCCAGGGAGGGCTGTATCCAGAATCACCAGGCGGGGAGCAGACGAGCCCCCAGCACCCCACGTCTGAGCCCCAGCCAGACAGCCCTTCCGGGGGTTAACAACCCAGCGGAGCCCCACAGGCTGCTCTGTCATACTGCAATAGAGCCCACCCCCCAACCCAGCAAACACCACGGAGGCAGCTGGGTGGTGGCCTCCCTCCGTGGGGGGCGGGCAGCATGTGTCTGGCATGGAAAGGTCAGCTCACGAGCTGAAACTTGAAGAATGAGAAGAAAGATGCGATACTCCAGCGAGCAAGGTCATGCGGACACCCTCGGCTGCTACCCTTGTCCCATCATCGTCCCCCCCCCCCCCCCCACCCCCAGAGGTTTCCTGCTCCTGCGCAAAGAGATTCAGGAAACACACAACTGCCTGGGGCAGGTTTCAAAGCTGATATATCCAGTTTATTCTGGAGGAAAGTGCCTTCCAGTATTTTTATTTCTACCACTTTAAAAACGTAGAGGGCGATTTGTGGGGTTCTTCCCGAACCCTCGGGCCTGCTGCGGCCAGCTTCACATCCCAGGTCCTTTCAGGATCCCAGGCCAGGAGGCTGTAGGAGGGCCCACTGAATCCCTGAGGGCCCCAAGTTTCTCCCAGCTGAGCCAGCTGCTCCTCCAGGGCTGGTGAGGCTGTCTCAACCCCCCCGCCCCAGGAAGCGGTGATCCATACGGCAGTACTTGGAGGGCTGCCCGTCTGATGGCGGAGGTGGCAGGCTAGCCTTCCCCAGCTCCCCGGCCGGGGCAATCACCAACTACCGGGGGAGCGAGGCCGCCGAAGTACTTCTGCAGCTCAAGCAAGGCCCGGAAGCGATGGGAAATGGTGTTCTTCTCCGCCTTGGGCATCTCTGCATACCTGAGGGGTGACAAGAGCAGTTCAGAGGTGCCCGGATTCAGGGGGTGCGCTTCCCTCACCTGTCCTGGAGCCCAAAGCTCAAGGAGTCGCCAGGAAAGGGTGGTGGGGCCACCAGCTCCTGGCAGCCAGAGTTAATTTAAAAAAAAAAAAAAAACAGAGAGGGGCGCCTGGGTGGCTCAGTCGTTAAGCGTCTGCCTTCAGCTCAGGTCATGATCCCAGGGTCCTGGGATCGAGCCGCGCATCAGGCTCCCCGCTCGGGGGAGAGTCTGCTTCTCCCACTCCCCCTGCTTGTGTTCCCTCTCTCGCTGTGTCTCTCTCTGTCAAATAAATAAATGAAATCTTTAAAAAAAAAAAGTTTTAAATTCCCCTGTAGGTGGAAACCCGTACTGACGAATGTGGAAGGATGTTAGACTTGCCCAATTGTGTCCAAAAGTCGTTACGGGAAGCCAGAGACAGGGGGACGAGCTGCATGTTTGATCAGCTTTGTCATCTGCTGACAGGAAGCAGTGGGACCTGACGAGTAACACGACAGTCTCCTCTTGTGTACTGCGGGGGTGGTGCGGGACAGCCGGCCGGTGGCCCCTCCTCCGTGTCAGGCCTCCAGTGAGGTGAGGACCACAGTCCGCCTGGGTGCCGCCGGCCTGTGCTGTCCAGTACGTGGCCGCTAGCCACGAGTGGCCATGTACGTTGAAATCAACCACAGTTGAATAAAACTACGTTCAGTTCCTAAGTCCTACTGGATAGCCACGTACTGGATCAAACAGTGGAGAAACAGAGCCTTTCTCTGTCTTGCGTTCCTGGATGGTGCTGCTTCACGTCGTCCTCAGCCCTGTCTGGCTACTGTGAGGCCTCAGGCCACGCTCCCTAGGGGCCCCTCAAGCCTGGAACACTTGATTCCAATAATGGCCAACATGTCCAGTGCAAACAAGGGGGCCGAGGGGTCAGGGGGAAGTAATGAGGACACTTGGCACTGGGGTGGTTTCGTGCGGTGCTGGAAGTATTAACATTTTTCCAAACTACACAGGGAAGCCAGATCATCCCACAAAACGGTCAGGTTTAGATGTGACAAGCCAAGGGCGGAGGGGAAGGCACTCGAGTCACACAGCTGCTCTGTGGGGAGCTGGAGCCCAAGGCCCCAGAACTCCCAGCTCTGCCTGACTGCCTCCTGCGCTGGAGAGCAGCCCACGCGGATTCCTCGCGTCCACCCCAGCAGAACCGCCTTCAGTTGCAGCAGCAGCCTACGGCCGGGCCCGCGAATCTGCACGCCTGCGCTCGGGCGGGGCGCCGAGCCAACTCGGACCGCGGCTGTCCCAACCCCACCGCCCCGGAAGAAAACGGGGCTCCTTACGTCTGCTCATATCCATCAGGCTGAAAGCAGGGATCCCAGCCAAAGTCTCGGCAGCCTCGGGGCGCCACGATCTGGCCCTGCCAGGGGAAAGGGGGGGGAACAGGTGTATCACTGGGCACAGAGGAAATGCCCTAGGAGGAGGGTAGCCAGTTTGAGTCTGGCTAGTTTATGTACTTGGTTAAGCCCCAGGTATTCAAAATAGATGGTTTCAAGAAGTCCGTGGTACCTGCACATGTTTGCTGAATACATAAATAAAATGCAGTGGGACCGCTCTCCCTGCACACACACACACACACAGAGCTCTCCCTGTGCGCACACACACACACACACAGCTCTCCCTGCGCACACACACACAGCTCTCCCTGCGCACACACAAACAGCTCTCCCTGCGCACACACAAACACAGCTCTCCCTGCGCGCACACACAACACTCTCCCTGCGCACACACAAACACACGTTCTCCCTGCGCGCGTGCACACTCTCCTTGCGCGTGCACACACACAGCTCTCCCTGCGCACGCACACACACATCTCCCTGTGCGCGCACACACACACCTCTCCCTGCGCACACACACTCTCCCTGCGCACACACACACACCTCTCCCTGCGCACGCACACACACCTCTCCCTGCGCGCGCACACACAGCTCTCCCTGCGCGCGCACACACAGCTCTCCCCGCGCGCACGCGCACACACACCTCTCCCTGTGCGTGCGCACACACAGCTCTCCCTGCACGCACACAAACTCTCCCTGCACACACACACACACACAGAGCTCTCCCTGTGCACACACACACAGCTCTCCCTGCGCGCACACACAACACTCTCCCTGCACGCACACACAACACTCTCCCTGCGCACACACAAACACACGCTCTCCCTGCGCGCGTGCACACACTCCCTGCGCGTGCACACACACAGCTCTCCCTGCACGCGCACACATACAACTCTCCCTGCACACACACACAGCTCTCCCTGCACGCACACACACACACACCTCTCCCTGCGCACACACACACTCTCCCTGTGCGCACACACACAGCTCTCCCTGCGCACACACACACACCTCTCCCTGCGCGCGCACACACACACACAGCTCTCCCCGCGCGCACGCACACACACAGCTCTCCCCGCGCGCACGCACACACACAGCTCTCCCCGCGCGCGTGCACACAGCTCTCCCCGCGCGCACGCACACACACACCTCTCCCCGCGCGCGCGCACACACACACACTCTCCCCGCGCGCGCGCGCACACACACACTCTCCCTGCGCGCACGCACATACACAGCTCTCCCTGCGCGCACGCACACACACACTCCCTGCGCGCACACAAACACACCTCTCCCTGCGCGCACACACACCTCTCCCTGCGCACACACACACACAGCTCTCCCTGCGCGCGCACACACACAACTCTCCCTGCGCGCGCACACACACACACAGCTCTCCCTGCACGCACGCACACACACTCTCCCTGCACACACACACAGCTCTCCCTGCGCACGCACACACACAGCTCTCCCTGCACGCATGCACACACACACAGAACTCTCCCTGCGCGTGCACACACACAGCTCTCCCTGCACGCGCGCACACCTCTCCCTGCTCATGCACACAAACTCTCCCTGCACACACACAGCTCTCCCTGTGCGCGCACACACACAGCTCTCCCTGCGCACACACACACAGAGCTCTCCCTGCGCGCGCACACACACACACACACCTCTCCCTGCGCAGGCACACACACAGTTCTCCCTGCGTACGCACACACAGCTCTCCCTGCACACACAACACACTATCCCTGCGCATGCACACACACACAGCTCTCCCTGCACGCACACACAGCTCTCCCCGCGCGCACACACACACACGGCTCTCCCCGCGCGCACACACACACGGCTCTCCCCGCGCGCGCGCACACACAC